ATGGGACATGGCGCACGCACGAGATCGAGTTACGAATTAGAGGCGCAGTGTTTTTGTCGTGGACATACTCCTCGGACCCTATTAGTTATCTCTGAGGCAGGTGGTTAGAAAAGCCGAGTCCTGTCTAGCACAGTAATGCCACAGGTGACAAATCTTGTCCCTCTTTCGCCTCTTGCTAATAGGGAAAAAGGAGATTACTCGGTTGCTGAGGTTGCGGGGCCAGGGGTACGTGGCTGACGATAGAGGAGAGCAATGAATAATTGCCGAGTGAAGACGCTACGTCGGTCATTTGTTGGTCAAACGACCCGCGACCGATGGATGTTGAGATAAAAGCGCCGTGGTACTTACTTTTACCAGTATATCCGGCATCTGCCTGATTTTGTCGCTTCGCAATGATTTTAATCATGTTGATGAAGTTAAGATAATTATTGAAAATATTACAAAGTAATAGTTAATTTATAAAAAAATATGTTGAATATAAAAACTCTAATAATAAGATAATTTGCAGCGAAATACATCCTATGAATTTTATTAGCTTTCAATTGTTTTTGTACACGATAATTAATATTTAATTGATAAAGTATCATAACATACTTTATCCTATTTAATTTGTGCTAATCATTAATTATTATACCATTAATGATTAATAATTATTAATAATCATGATGAACTCATTCAATATCATATTTCAGTATTATTATTTTAAGAGATGTAATATACAAAATGAATTTCGTTGTCGTGTTCTTACAAGTGCCGATAGTTGCATTAAAAAATATACGAAAATTCTTTGAATTCGTTGTAAAAATTCATTTTGTTTGCAATATATATATATATATATATATATATATATATATATATAAATATATATGTATATATTTATCTCTGAGGATATAATTGTATTTACTTCTATTATACCTTGAAACTACAGTAGCTTACATTTTGTAATTTTATAATAATCTCAGGAAAAAAAAATTTATTAGCATCACGCAATAAATATACATTTATAATAAGTACAAATAATTACGATTGTTATTGCTCCTATTAATAATTCCAATTTATTGGAATGTCATTTCTTGGATGTACAAAGTGGGGGAACAATGCATACAAGACATGATAAAGAAATGATTCGATAAAGTTTATTTTAAAGTCCATTGATAATCGTTAAATATAAGACAAATATCTACAAGAGTGAAAGATGTATAGATAGAAAGGTAGATAGAGTGAGAGAGAGAGAGAGAGAGAGAGAGAGAAGGGGGTGGGGAGAAAGAGTGAGAGTTTACGATATTGGAGAATACATACAGATACTTGCAAGCCGCAATGAATCGGCTCAACCTAACGAAAATTTCTGATGTTCCCGTTACTGAATTAGAGATTCAATACAGAGATGCTGTTTCCTCATTCTCTGCTTTTTGCTTATAAGTTCTGGGTGACATTTTGGTTCTCGTGTCGTGGAATACTGGAACGTGGCAAGTGGTGCTTCTCAACTCTCTCGCTGTTTTCGTCCAAATTTCGTCTATACGTGCCGGGACGTTCTTTACAGTTATCAACAATACATCACCAC